GGAGTGAGGCTTCCAGGCAAGGTACGATGGCATCCTCACGACTACTTAGTCCAGGGAGATTTGCCTGGAGCAGGAGAGGCTTGCCTTCTGGGTCCTGGCCCTGGCTTCCTTCTTCTGCTCCAACCTTCCACCCTCCAATCCCCACGTGTCCTCCATCTCCCAGAGTGGCAGAGCTGGATCCAACATGGGCTTTGCACTTGGACATACTGGAGTCTTAGAAATTCTTTTCCTGCTTTTTCCTGGCAGAGTGGCCTTGGACATGTTTTCTAATCTCTGCAAGTCTCAGTTACTGCAATTAGGAAATGAAAATAATGATAGAGGTTGAGTATCCTGTATCCAAAATGTGTAGGACCAGAAGTGTTTCCAATTTTGGATTTTTAAAGATTTTGGAATATTTGCCTTATACTCACTGGTTGAGCATTCCTAAGCTGGAAATCTGAAATGCTCAAAGAACATTTTCTTTGAGCGTCTTGTTGGCATTCAGATAGTGTTGAATTTTGGAGCATTTGGGATTTGGGATTTTCACATTAGGGATGCTCAGCCTGTGGTATCTAACTGATAAGGTTGTGCTGGAGTACCAATAAAACCATGTCTGCAAAGTCAGTGCCCAGGGCTAGGCACAGTGACGCATGCCTGTAATCACAGCACTTTGGAAGGCCAAGGCAGGAGGATCACAAACCCTGGAGTCTGCGATCAGCCTGGGCAACATAGTGAGACCCCCATCTCTACAAAAACGTTTAAAAATAGCTGGGCGTGGTGGCACACGCTTGTCCCAGCTACTCAGGATGCTGAGGTGGAAAGATCCCTTGAGCCTAGGAGTTTGAGGTTACAGTGAGCTGTGATTGCACCACTGCACTCCAACCTCGGAGACAGAGTGAGACTCTGCCTCTTAAATAAATAAATAGCCAGTGACCAGCACATACAAACACATGTCAGCACTTCCCAGCATTTTCGTTGTTATTATTGATCAGTTCACTATTATTTTTGAGCTCCTGCCTCACTTAGCCTCCAGAATCTCCCACCCCTCATATGGCAGCCCTGCCAGGGTGTCCTGGGAAGAACCAATGGCTTTCTCTGCCCTGCCCTCCTTGGACGCAGGATTTGAAGACTTTGTTTCCTCATTTCCACCTGTAAACCACATTGACAGTCTTGCTGCAGCTATGATATGAAATCCTTTTCTGTTCAGCCACCAGATCCTGACAACACTGAGAGGCTCAGCGGGAACCCCGTTCCGCTTCCCTCCTCAAGCCATCCCTTTCCCTCCCAAGGTCTCTGTAGCCCATTGCTCTGGGGACTCAGTCTTTTCATGTTACCATCATCCATGAGAAGTGCCGACTAATAAACGAATTCATACAGCACAGTTCATGTTATCTCAGCTTTAAAAACAACACACAGGTGGGCGTGGTGGCTCCTATCTGCAATTCAGAACTTTAGGGGGTCAAGGTGGGAGAATTGCTTGAGCGCAGGTGTTTGAGACCAGCCTGGGCAACGTAGGGGGACCCCTGTCTCAATTAAATAAATAAATAGCACACAGAGAAGGCAACTCTTAACCCAAAGGAACATCTCATTCCTTGTGGGATTTTATGCACTTTGAGGGAGATTCTGGAGGTGGTGGGGCTCTCCCTGGTTTCCTCAGGGCTGTCTTTAAGACACTGTCTGTCCTGGTGGCCTGTGGACGGGGCCCCATTTTCCTGTCTCCGTTCTGTTGCTCCCCCGTTAGCATCTGCCTGAGCTGCACACTCCTGAGAGCAGCACCTCCCTGCTTAGCTCCCACACAGCCCTCGGGGATACTGTGGACTTGGGAGGGGCATTCCCAAGAGTCAGAGGCACCTTCCACACCCCCCCACCCCATGCACGTCCCAGGACTCGCAGCTTCCACCTCCTTTCCCACATGTAAGGAGAGGTGAGTTTCTCCCCTGGCCCTGAGAGGTAGCCCTTCCTGTGAGAGCCTGCCCCACCTCAGCCAAGGTCTTGGGTCCAGCCCTTTCCCACCAGGGAGAAAATAGCAAGAAAAACAGATGAGAACTGATACCCTAAGCTGCAGGGTCTATTGGGACTGGGTCCTGGAGGAGCCCCAGGAAAGCTTTAACCCTGGGGGCTCCAGGCGGTCAGCAGGGTGAGGAGTGAGGAAAGAAGAGGGGAGGGAGGCACCACTCTAGCTAAGTCACCTCCTCCTTCTCTCCTCCTACCTCTCCTCTCTCCACAGATCATCACTGCCCAGATATGGGTCCCAGGCTGGATCTCCTAATCCATATGCTGGACAGCAGCACCGGAGGTCACCTGGCCCTCCCCACTGACTCTGGGTGGTGCCCTCCTTGGGCAGGGTCTAGAAGTTCCCATTTTAAATCTCTTAGGCAGGGGATATTTTCAACATGCCAATCATCTGCATCTTAACAACCCACAGTCAGCTTGGTACCCTGAAGGAGAGCTGGGCTTGGAGTCAGGAGGCCCAGGCCAGTGGAGCTTCTAATCTGTGAAATGGGGATTCCCTCATCTGCTGTGCTCACCACAGCAGCGGTTATGGGGATTACCTGAGACAGGACTGAGAAAGGCATTTGTAAATGATCAATGTGGTATAAATGGCAGATGTGATGGGCTGTGGGCGTAGGCAGGACACCTGGCCCCGTCCTTCTCTCTGCGGCGGCAGCTCTCTTTCCTTGCTGAGGTTCACCCGGGGACCTGGCCCCACTCTCCACTGTGTGACTGCTGAGACAGCATCCCTTAGCCTTCAGAATGACTGACGTTACTTTGGTCTTTCACCGTGTACTCACGCCCAGAACTTTTCCCACCGTATCTGAGAGGACACATGGAGAACACTTTGAGATGGTCAGGAACAAGACGTGAGTGAGATGTTTAAATAGCCTTTCGGCTGTGTTTGCTGAGCATCTAGAGATACTGGAGTTTTCCAGATGGGCATTTGTCTAGGAGCTTGGAGGGGTAAGAAGGGCTCAGGCAAAGGAATACTGGTCGGGTGTTTACAGAGTACTTTCACACATAGTATCTCATTTGATTCTCTCCCTCTGAAGTAGCTCTCCTTTACAGAGGAGAGACTGATCTAGCAAGTTGCAGACTGGCTGCCCAGATTTGGGTCTTCTGACTCCCAGTGTCTGTACCAGGCCTGGCCATTCTGCTGAGGATACAGAGGAGGGAATGGGCTTCAATTACAGCAAGAGAGTGAGGATTGTATCTAAGAAAACTTCAGAGGCATAAGTGACCTCGTCACCTCTCAAGGCCCTTTGGTGGTGGCTTGGGGCACAAGGATCCTGTGATCACAGAGTGGGGGAAGGGAACTGCTCTAAAGGTGTTGGAGTCAGCTACTCAATTTCTTCACTGGGACAATGAAGGGATGGAAAATGAGATTCCAAACGTCTCTTCTAGTCATTATCTTCTAGGTGGGGTGGAGAGGGGGCATCTGGTTCCTCCCACTCTGCAAACTGTCCCCCTTTCTACCCCCATAGCCTTCACAGAGCAGGTGAGCTTTGATAGATGGTAAAGGGTCTAGGAGAAGCATTGTCCGGGGCAAGAGAGACTTTAAGCATCATATCATGCAGGAGAAGGCTGCAGATTCTGCGTCCCGGGGCAGAAGGAAGCAGTCGGCAGCCTCTCCCGTCATACTTCTGGGTCTCAGGAGCTGTTTATGTGCTCGAGCGGGCACTCCATCAATTTCAGAAGCCGCATTGGAAAATAACAACTGGGCAAGCTGCTGCTGTTCAGCCGGCTCCTCAGCACAGAGCTGGGTGAGACCCAGCCCTTGGCACTGTCTCCAAGGCCAGTGTGTAGGCAGAAGCCGCCACGGCTGCTGGCTAGATTGGTTTAAAGGGAAGTAGGAACCCCTGAGATATGAAAACGCCCAACCCTTGTGGCTCATGAGCAGCCTTGTCATCCAGATGTTTCCATCTTCTTTGTGACGTGAAAAAAGTTAGAAAGCTCTGTCTCTTGATGCAGCCTATTTCCTTTAAAGGACATAAAATGATCTGTAGTGGTCTTGTTTATTTTCTTGCTTTTGTGTTATGTGTCTCTTCACCCAAAATGTGAGATATGTAAAAGCGGGGATCTTTTATCTTAGCACAGAGAGCAATGCCTAGCACAGAAAGCACTCGACAAATGAGGCAGGGGAGTCTGCTTCTCTTAGGAGTTGGTGCTGAATGAATGCATCCATGTATGCGTGGGTAAATGCATGAGTGAATGAGTGAAAGTATCTAGCATGTAGTAGATGCTCAGTGAATGTCAGTTTCTTTCCTGAGCATCATTCTCAGTTAGCTTGGGAATGCAGAGCTGGTTCTTGAGATCAAGCCCTTTGGAGGTAAGTGCTACACGGTGATCAGGAGGGGAAACAAGAAGTTGATATGGAGGCGGGAGGTGAGGCACTGGCCGGGGAGTATGGGCAAGGCCCAAAGAAGGGGAGTTGTGTGAAAGATTTTTTGAAATGACAGTTGTGTTTGCTGGCCCAAGAGAAGGGATAGATGGTTTGTTAATTAGCTGGCTGTTTTGGTCAGTGTCTAGATGTGTTTTAGGAAACAAGGGACAGCACTGCCACCTTCCATGTGGCCTTGGGCAGATCCTGTGACTACTTTGAACCTGTTTCCTCACCTGTCAGTTGGGCAGTCCTCATTCTGCCGGTGCCTTCCTATGTGATGCAGGCCGTCATGAAGCAATGGCGAGATAACCAGGGAGGGCGTGCTGAGTGCATGGGAGCAATTTTTACTGTGGTCACTTCCTCGACATTTCTAAAGGAGGTCCTTTGTGATTTTCTATCACTACTTTTGTCATTAATCAGGATTTCCTCTCTTGGCAGGAGAATGAGCCAATGCATGGCAAGCACTAAATCTTAGATCCTGAAGACTCAACCTTCGAGCAAAAGACACACACCTCCCCGCTCACCGGGCCCTGGATGGGGAGGGGGCTCCTCTTAGAGGCCCCTGGAGGCCAGGTGTGCCTCGGAGGGGCCCTTCGAGGCAGCTGGGAGGCAGATCCTGACACTCTGCCCTCCTCTCTCCCAGGTACAAGATGGTGGTGACCCCCCGGAGGGCAGCGGTGGCCATCGCCGGCTGCTGGATCCTCTCTTTCGTGGTGGGGCTGACCCCTATGTTTGGCTGGAACAATCTGAGTGCAGTGGAGCGGGCCTGGGCGGCCAACGGCAGTGTGGGGGAGCCCGTGATCAAGTGTGAGTTCGAGAAGGTCATCAGCATGGAGTACATGGTCTACTTCAACTTCTTCGTGTGGGTGCTGCCCCCATTGCTCCTCATGGTCCTCATCTACCTGGAGGTCTTCTACCTGATCCGAAAGCAGCTCAACAAGAAGGTGTCGGCCTCCTCCGGCGACCCGCAGAAGTACTATGGGAAGGAGCTGAAGATCGCCAAGTCGCTGGCCCTCATCCTCTTCCTCTTTGCCCTCAGCTGGCTGCCTTTGCACATCCTCAACTGCATCACCCTCTTCTGCCCGTCCTGCCACAAGCCCAGCATCCTCACCTACATTGCCATCTTCCTCACGCACGGCAACTCGGCCATGAACCCCATCGTCTATGCCTTCCGAATCCAGAAGTTCCGGGTCACCTTCCTTAAGATTTGGAATGACCATTTCCGCTGCCAGCCTGCACCCCCAATTGATGAGGATCTCCCAGAAGAAAGGCCTGATGACTAGGCCCCGCCTTCTGCTCTCACCAGCCCACATCCAGCGGGGTCTCAGTCCAGTCCTCCCCTGCCCGCTGTCCCAGGGGTCTCCCTGAGCCTGCCCCAGCTGGGCTGTGGGTCGGGGGCATGGGGGAGGCTCTGAAGAGATACCCAGAGAGCATGATCCGTCCACTAGGAGTTAACTACCCTACACCTCTGGGCCCTGCAGGAGGCTTGGGAGGGCAAGGATCCTGTGAAGGGACCGGGTGTCTAGAGGTGAGAGTGTTCTGAGCGCCCACCTGCCTTACCATCCCACGAGCAGTCCAGCGCTTCAGGCCTGGGCAGGTCTTGGGGAGGCCGAGACTGCAGAGGAGCCACCTGGGCTGGGAGAAAGTGCTTGGGCTTCTGCAGTGAGGCAGGGGGTCTGCTTGTCTTTGGTGTTAGTGATGCAGCCCAGGCCCAGCTTAAGGAGAGGAGAGCATCCCCTCTGAGACAGATGGGAGGAGAGAGGTCGGGGATGCACTGGCCTGGCTGTCTCTCCTGTTCTGTAGGAGAGGGTAGCCAGAAGCAGCTAAGGGACAGAAATCAAGGAGCTTCCATTCCCACGTCTGAGGGCTCTGGGCCCCAGGCCATACCAGGTGCTAGGGTGCCTGCTCTCCTTGCCCTGGGTCTACCCAGGATTGTGTGTGGGAGAGGCAGAAAGGGTAGGTTCAGAAATCATTTCTTTCTTTCTTTTTTTTGGTTTTTTTGAGATGGAGTTTTGCTCTTGTTGCCCAGGCTGGAGTGCAATGGCTCGATCTCGGCTCACTGCAACCTCTGCCTCCAGGGTTCAAGCAATTCAGAAATCATTTCTGGTATTTTCTAGAGTGCAGGCTCCGCGCCCTGGGGAGCGAGCTTCGTGCGGTAGGTGCTGGCCTCAAACAGCCACGAGGTGGCAGCTCTGAGCCTTCCTTCTTGCCCTGAGCTTTCCAGGGAGGGGCCTAGAGTGTAATTACCTGTGATCTGGGCCACCAGTACCACTGGCCACCCGATGCCAGGCCTGGACTCTCCTAGGTGACACCATCTCTGCTGCTTCTGGGCCTGATGGAGAGGAGAACCCTAGACACGCCAACTCTTGGGAGCATCCTGCCTGCCCGGGGACGGGGTGGACTGTGGCCCTCCTGGGGGGGTATAGCCAGCTGCAGCAGGCAGAGGAGACCACCCTCCTGAGAGTGTGGGGACGGTCTTGCTGTCATGCAAATCCGTCAATACCCCTAGTATTTAGCTGCATTTTCAGGGGCTTCAGAAGCTCTGTTGCAGGTGTGGGTGGTCTAGGACTTTAGGGATCGAGGGAAGGACCAACTCATGTCCTGCCAAGCCTGGAGTCCCTGTGTAGAAGGACAAGGCGGGGGAGCGGAGGTGGCCGTCAAGTTGACGGATTCTGAACATGAGTGTCAACCCCAGGCCTTGCTTCCAGGCTCTTCCCTCTGTTGGAAATGGGGTGTGCCCCGGCTCCCAAGGGAAGCCCACATGACTAATAAAAGAACTGTGAACCCTGTGGAGTGCACATTGCTGGGCACCCACCCCCACCACTGTTGAGAGCAACAAGACATCCTCAGCAGAGGGGAAGCAACGGTGGGGGCCGGGAGGAGCTGCGACGGGGGCATGTGGAGGCGTTCCAGCAAGGAGGTTCCAGAGAGGGTGTGTCTGTTTCCATAGTTACGCACTTGGGGTAGCAAACCCTGATCAGGAAGCGAGATCTGGAAAATTCACATGTCAAGAACCGCCCCCCCCCCACCCACAGACCCATGACATCCTGAGACCTCTCCCTCCTGCTGGCGTCTTCCTCATGGTGACATATTTGGAGACCCCCCTCATGGTGACAGGTTAAGGCACCCCCCTCCTGGTGACGAGGTGCCTCCCCGTAGATGATGTCGCTCACTGGCACAGAGGTCCCGCATTGTGACACCACACATCTTTATTCGAGTGCTTCCCACCCAGTGCCGCTCCGTGGAGCACTCCCATCTCTGCACCCTCCAGGACCCCTTGAGCCCAGGTAGCCTGGCCCGGGGTCTACCAGGCCCACTCCTGACTGCTGGAGTGGTATAGAGGGGCCAGCAGGTACCAGGGCCAGTTCCTTCAGCCGTCACTACGGAAGCGGGGGGTCTTGAGTGTCTCTGGAGTTTGATGGTGGCCTGGGGGACCTGGGGGAGGACATGCTTCCTGAGGCCCTGGTGTGAGCAGAGCTTGGCTGCAGGCCAGAGAGGTGCAGAGAGGGGAGGGGAGCAGCACCCTCTTCCTCACCAGGCCTCCCTTCTCAGGCCCAGGTCTGAGCTTTGCCCACTGCAGTTCTAGATACTTCCGTACTTATGCAGAGCCTCAGAACCACCAGTGGAGGGAAGGCAGGGAAAGGTTGTTATCCCCACTTTTCTGATGAGGAAATGTGTCCAAAGAGAACACCCTTGCGGAAGGTCACTGAGAGCTGGGAGTAGACTCTGATCATGTGGCGGCCCATGGAGTCACCCCCTTCGGGCCACACCGGCATCTCCTGGCCCTGCAACGTCACTGCGAGTCTCTGGAGATGTGTGCTAGTTGCCTGTGTCCACAAGTTTGTCCCCAGAGCTGACCACCACCTTCCCTTCTGACCCCCAGCCCCTGTTCCCGGCTTCCTCTCTGGTTCCGTGCCGCCTGCAGAGGTAGCAGAGGGGGTGGGTCTGGCCATTTACCTGGCTCCTCATCACAGCCTCCTCCCGTGGCTCTTCAGTGCGTGGCTGAGGCTGGAAGAGATGCTGCAGTTAGAGCTTGGGGGAAGTGGCTGGGAACTGACAAGGTTCACAGTTACACGCCCTCCCCTACACCTGCCCACCTTCCCCTACCCCTGCCCACCCTCCCCTACACCTGCCCACCCTCCTGCTTGGAAAGTAATTGGCACAGCCTGACCCCGATCTTACTACCCCTTCTCTTCTGCCTTGATTTCAAGCTCTCTGCTGCCTCTAGTCCAGCTCCAGAGAGGTGCTGACTCTTGTTCTCCCATCTTCAAACTCTCACCTTTGACCTCTAGCCGGCAGTCCACAGATGCCTCCCCCAGCACATTGATGGCCTTGCAGGTGTAGACCCCAGAATCAAAGGGGCTGGGTTTCCGGATCTCCAGGGTGCAGACACCTTGCTCAGAGACAGCGCGGTATTTGGGGTTGCCCTGGATCTCCATCTTGTTTTTCATCCAGATGATCTTGGGCTGGGAGGCATGGTCAGAAGAGAGCTGGGGAGGTGTGGACTGGGGTGGGGCTCTTGCAGGCCATCCCCAGGCTTAGGTGTGGATGCCCGGAGGATTCCTCAGCCCTGCTGTCCCCACCTGCTGCCACCAGCCCAGGGCACCGCAGGGCCTGGTCCCTCACCTTGGGTGAAGCTCGGACACTGCAGGACAGCTGGGTGCTGTAGCCAGGGGTGGAGGTGTGGTCAGCCAGGGGCTGGGTGAATGACGGGGCTTCTGAGAAGTCTCGCTCAATAAACCCTTTTGGTTTGGCAGCAATATCTGGGTTCAGGGGAGAAAGTCGGGTGAGTCTGAGCTTCCAGGAGTGAAGGAGACCTGTTAGGACTGAATGTGATCCTAGATCTATAGCAAGTCACGGCTTATTTACAGCAACTTGGACAATACCAAAGAGGCAGAGAAGGCTGAGATTGAGGCTGGGTGGGTCAGGGTGGGGAGCAGAGGAGAGAAGGAGGAAAAACCAGAGGGATGAGACCGTCTTGGCAGAAGGTGGAGGCTCGAAACTCAGTCATCACGTTTCCTTTGTGTTTGTCTTTGGAGACGTGACCGGCTTTCCTTTTTTAAACAAACATTTCTTCCTAATTCTGTGCAGCTCAGGCTGGTGTTAAATAAAGTTTGCCTTCTGGAACCCACACAGATGGTGGGTCACGGAGGGGCTCGGGGCAGACGGGGGACAGGGAAAAGGGCCTGGGGTTTAGGATTTGACGCAAGAGGGTCAGTGCCTGTGTGGAGACGGTAAATACTCTTATCTGTCTTGTCCATCTATGTGGCGTGTGTGGGGGTTGGAAGGCCTGTTTTAGCAAACTCACCCGTTTTAGCACACTACACATCCATGCACAGGTCACCCTCTAGATTCCCTTGGGACACTCACTGCCTGAGACTCGATGGCTGCTGTGGTGCTGGCAGCCACAAGCATCTTTGCAATAAGTACACGGCCTCCCAAGGAGCATCTTTCATTTTTGTGGATTTGCTCTGATGTGTTTGTTAAAATCAATCAACCACATTCACTGCATTGCAGCCACTCCATGCATGTGCATGCATAGCTGTGGAGTCAGGGGACAGCGGGTGTTCCAGGGGCAGATGCCCAGGAGAAGCCCAGAGAGAGGGATGTGGAGAGGACGCTGAGGAAGAGGCAGGGACAGGGAGAGAATCAGCACAGCCAGACCTGGCCCAAACCCACCTGCCTTCTGGATGTGGGCGAGCTCCTTGGTGACGGTGGCTGAGGCGCTGAGCCCACACAGGTTCTCTGAGAAGACCCGGAAGGAGTACGAGTTGCCGATGATGAGGTCGGAGACGGTGCAGGTGGTCGGGTGGTAGCGCTCCAGCACTGTGAACCATTGCTGCGGGTCCCCGGGTGTCACTCTCGTTTCTCACCCCTGTTCTCGCCCTCCCTGCTTACCCTGAAGCCCTCTCTTCAGGGGAATTCATTCCATGCCCCCAACCCTGGGATGCTGAACTATCCAGCTTTGGGCTACAGGGACATTGAACTGGGAGAAAGGGCCCCTGGGTCACTCAGGTGACCTCTGTAGGAGCCTCAGAGACTCCTAGAGCCTTCATGGCAAAGCATGGCCCACAGGTGTGCAATTTCAGCATCACCTGGAAACTTCTTCGAAATGCAGGCTCTCAGCCCCCACCCTGGACCTACTGAGTCAGACTCTGCCTCTTAGCAAGCTCCCCTGGTGACTCATGCCCACATTAAAATTTGGGAAGCAGGCTCCAGAGCTTGAAAGGTTGCAGACGGCCCAGGCCAGCCCTCCTCGAAGTCTTTAGGAGGCGTCTGAGATCCAGAGAGGAAGAGTCTTGCTAAGGGCCGCCTAGGTTGTCAGGCTAGCAGTGGGCAGACCAGAACTCCGTCCCTAGACTCTGTGGGATGGGCCTTCCCCGCCACCTTGACCGCTTCCCACCCCGACACCGCTGTGTCCCAGCCAGACTCACCCCTGTCTTTTTGTCCGCCTTCTGCACCGTGTAGCCCAGGAGCTCTGTGTTGCCTGTGTCCTGGGGTGGTGTCCACTGAAGAGCAGCATTGCAGCCCCAGACGTCCAGGAGCCGGATACTGCTGGGGGGTCCAGGTTTCTCTGCAGGCCCAGGGTGCAAGGGGAAGTGAGTGTGAGGGCCAGGCCAGCCACAGAGCCCCCACACCCAAGATTTGGCTCCTGCCACACTCCCTTGGCCTGCTGCCATCAGCCATCAGCTCTGGGGTGCGAGGTCGGAGGCTCTGGCTCTCCCGTGAGGCAGCCCTGCTCCCCTGGCCCCGTACCAATCACCAGGATGTCAATGGTTGCCTTGGCCTCCAGCTCTTCCAGGCGCACAGTAAGCTCATAGCGGCCAGAGTCGGAGCGCTGGGCCGAGCGAATGAAGAGGATGGAGTCCTGGTCCCCGGTACGCACGCTCACCCGCTGGCTGTCCAGGGCATGGCCATTGTGCGTCCATGTGGCCTGAGGCTTAGGCTTTCCCTGGCAGGGAGGAGGTGAGTGTAGGGAGGTGCCAGTTTCCCCACACCCCCTTAACTCCAGTAGTCTCTGGAGCTGTGCCCCGGGGAGCCTGCC